TGGGGAAAGAGCTACCATACTGAAGTTAGTTACTTCAAGTTAACCAAGTAGCCCTTTCCTTTAGAAAACAGAATTTCTCCAGTTCTGAACAAACATTCTTACACTCAAACTTTTCTATTCTTTAAACTAGGCGGTGTTCACAAGCAGTAAGGCCACTACCTTAGCAAAATAATGGATAATAGAACTCTTCAGCAAATTGTAAAATATTCTGTCTCATTAAGGAAATCTGAACTCAGCAATGTAATATACTGTATTCCAAAATCTTAGTGGAGCTTACTTGTTTGCAGCTTATTTCTTAAATCTAACTTTTCCATTTATGTAAGGAAAAATTGAAAAACTGCAATATTGAAATCAATTTCATCACACATGATATGATTTACAATGCTGTTTATACTAGTTGAAGGCAAGTGCATGAGTCAATGTCAGTCAAGGTTTTCATTTAGTTTAAAGATCAAGTTTTTGCTGTCAAAGTTCCATGTATCAGACAAGTATTTGGAAAGTGTTCTAAAAACATTTATTTCAGTCTTTAAGATCTTTACCTGGGAATTCAAAAGTGATACAAAATAGAATAGGATTTTCCTTTAATTTGTTGAGCTGAATAATGAACTGCTTTTCATTACTTAAGACTAAGTTTAAGATTTCCTCCACCACAGCTCTATTATTTTAATAGCTTTTAGCCAAGGTCATATTCGGGTCATATTCAAAGCCATTATAGTACAACAGAATATATTGTTCTTCTACTGAAAATCTATTTAGATATCCATCTGGGATTTTAGTCCTTCAATATAAAAAAGTCTTGTGAATGAAATATTCTTTACTATTATATACAAAAGCAATATAAAGACTTGCTTAAACAATTGTCTATTCAGTAAAATAGCTAGAAAACTACCTACTATCATGTAATCATTTCAATGTGTGAAAAAATTTTTTTCATTATAGTTAAGCTCATTGCATTGGTAGGATGTAGAATGACACCTGATTCATGGTAACCTGCTGAACTCAGTGTCCAGATTCTGCAAGTGCAGAAAAATATATAATTCTAATAAGAAAAATGAGCCCCTCAGTTTCCTGGAGAGTCTATGCTTTATCTAAAAAGATTCATTTCTTTTACGATTGTTGTAATTTTTCATTTGATTATATTGTGGGGTTTTTCCCCAGTAGGAGCACTATATCTTTAATAAAGCTATTGTGTTGTAAGTTGCCTGAGGGGAGAGATTGCATCTAATATCTGCCAGTTTACTAGGGGTCCAAGAATAAAACTAGTTACAGGTTAGATCCTCAAAAGATATTGTTTCACTTACTGAAAGGTAGCCTGGGCTATTGTTTGAATTCTATTTCTATACTTGCATTCAGCAAATTCAGATGACTGTGTGAAATCCTGCTTTACTGAGCTTCAAATATTTTCCTGGTTGGAGAGTGATTTTATCTCCTCATTCTCTTCATGATTAACTGTAAAATAGTTTAAATTTGGATCCTTTCCAGTCCTTCCTTAGGGCCACAGTAAAGGGCTATTATCTTGATTACTTGCAGTTGCAATTATAAAGACATGCTGAGCTACTAGAATCACAGATAACACAAATAAAATAAAGAACCCTAAAATTTATCATAATTTACAGATAAAACAATAGACCCAAGAAGATAAACCATTTCTGCTAGGTTTTAGAACAGAATTTAAAATGTGATCTAATTCTCTCAGATAAATTACGCTGTTTATTGATAAAATACCTTCACTACTGTTGACCCATTCTCCTTGAATATGCAAAAAGTGCTATCCTTAGGGATTGGCTGAACTAGGCAAGATTTTTTCACTATTAATGAAAGATACTAGTATAATATTAATGACATTTTTAATAATACAAAGCATGCATCAGAAGGACACAGTTTCTCACAACTAGTACCGTGTGATGTTCTGTGTGTGCTCTCTGCTCAGTCGCGCAGGGGCGTGCAACTCTTTGCAACCCTATAGACTGTAACCTGCCGGGCTCCTCTCTCCATGGGATTTTCCAGGAAAGAATACTGGAGTGGGTTGCCATTTCCTTCTTCAGTGAATCTTTCTGACCCAGGGTTAGAGCCTGCATCTCTTATATCTCCTGCATTGGCAAGAGGGTTCTTTACCACTGAGCTACCCGGAAGGCCTATAGGTAGTATTGCTAGAGGCCAAAGTGATACAGGAAGCAGAGATATGCATACTAGTATATAGGATGACACTTATATATTAAAAAATAGACTATACTAATGACAAAATCAAATGTATCAGAAAATATATACAGAATATCAGAGAGAGAGAGTAAAAGAGTCACAGTTACCAATACAGGAAAGAATCTATAAAGGGTAAATATAAGAGACTAAGAGGGTAGCCTGGCAGAGCTCTGCAGTTTAGCTCTTCACTAGCATGAGAGCATGCATGCTTGCATAGGGCAGAACAAACATTATAAAGGATGTTCTATCCTTATCAGCTACTTGAAGTAGACTTCTTTCAGTTGCAGGCCAGCCAGTTCCTGATTTCTGTGCCTGGTATAATGGGGAGCTGGTTTCCTGCTTACAAATTTCCCTATACCTAAAGCTACTTAACCTTCACCTATAGGCTCAGCTCTAACCCAATCTATTGGATAACTTTGGCCCAAGGGCAAAAAGTAATAAAAAGATCCAGAGATGCATAGCTTGGCAGTTCTGCATCAAATTGGCTATATTACAATACTTTATTGCTAGAACCCTGCTCATGTTACAACCTATTATAATTCTGTCCAGTATATTTCTTTGCCTTATTCTTTGTGGCTCTGCTTAGTCTTGTAACCTGTGTCCATGGATTGGTTTTTGTCTTAATCTCATGAAATTAACTTTCAGTTAAAAGTAACTGAAGCTGAACATATACTATGAACAGTAATGACAGTTTATTTGTTCCCATTACTGGAAGATTCAGGATAATTTGAGTTTTAGGGATTGTTAGCTTCAACAGCTCAAAGGTATTATCAAGGACCTAGTTGCTTTTCCATTGCTTCTCTGTCAGCTTGCATCGGCTTAATTCTAAGGCAAATAATTTAGTTCAGACTTGCAATTAGTGAGTTCTGAGTTCTTAGTGACTTTACAGAGTAAAGATTCAATTCCTGCTCACGTCATCATCTAATGTGAATGTTTCCGATGGAACCTCCTTCTACATTGTCATTGAGGGACCAAGGTTCTTCCCAAAGTGTGGTTCCACTCTCTTCTGAGTCCTCGGAGTTCTCTACAGTCAGGCAAAAGAGAGTGCAGCGAAGGATACCTACTTTTGATCATTTTCCTCAGAAGTGACACAAACACCTCAGTTTACATTGCAGTCATTGTAGTTTAGTCACATGGATAGATGATATCCCTAAGGACGGAGGGTATGCAGTCCCCTAGGAGGAACGGGAAACTGGTTTTGGTGATCATTCTCTGCTATAGTTGACTTCTCAAAAGAAAAGTAAAATGGCTGTAGCACCTCTAGGATTCACATCCCACAAAACATCATCCTAGATTGTAGAGTGGGCTGGTTTCTGGCACCAAATCAAAAAAAGAATGAGAAAATCTCTTCCTCCAAACCCCCAGCAAGCCATCACTTGCCTCTTATTAGCACAGAGAAAGTCTTAGGTCAATACTGAGCCAGACCCTTATGCTAAGCCAGGAAAATACCATGCATTGCTTCATATTCACACTAGAAACATAAAAAGAAGTGGGATTACTTTTACCCCAGTCAACCCTTCTCCTGGAACTGGGAGTAGGTCAACTTCACCTGAAAGACACTGACATCATGTGGAAAGATATGTCCTTATATTATGTCATTGGTAAGAAAGCAGAAGGAAGAATCTATATTGTGTTCCTTTACAATGCATCTGCCTCAGTCTCTCTCTAGGATGGATTTGCCCCAATCCTGCACCCTTGTGCATATCCAGTCATCATGGGACGTTAAGTCAATCCTCCAGATTCCAGTTGAGAAATGGAGTATTTCCAGTAAACAAGGATGTCATAGTCATCAGCAATTGCATCCCTCCAGTATAAGCTCCTGAGCCCTAAAGGCATTCAGAAAGGAGAAGAGTACCTGTGATCAGGCAGCCTTCAGACTGCAGCCACTCCCCACAGTGAGCCTCAAGGGAGCTCGGGGAGTGAGCCACACAGAGTACTGGCCCCAGATAGCTGAGATACATATGAAAGGGATGATTTCAGTAAGCCCAGACTCTTGCATCTTCCCACACATAGAAAAGCACTAAATTCCTTAACTTGAAATATCTAGTTTCCTTTAAATCACAATAATCTTTTGATGTTCAGACTGGCTGCCCTTTGTTGCAAAACTTCTCTATAGCCTGGTTTCTCCCCTCACCTCATCGGAGCAGTTCTCCCAGGGTTACTTGAGATGTCTCCCAGGCTTCAAGTCCTAGAAAGTCCCACCAAGTAAAGCGGAACTCTCAACTTTTAGGTTATGACTATTTAAGTCGACACAGCGTAAATAAATACTGTGTCTAAACTTCAGTATACCTTGTATTTCACATTCTTTCAATGCCATGCTCTACTTCCTGGGAAAACATCTGCCTGTTTTCTACAAAAAGCATCTCTACCCCAAGTGCTCACCCTTCTAACTCTGTAAAGACCATTTACTGACTGCCTTGATAGATCTTTTCTGGCTCTAATCCTTACTGTCCCCAGTCTGGTCTGTCAGTTCACAATCTAGATACCAGTAGTGACATTCCAAGGAAGTTGGGATGAAGTTCGATATGCTTGTCTCATGATTTAAATAACTGCAATGTGATAATCTCCAATTTTGATGGGGAGGAAGTAGAGAACAAGAAGAAAGAAGGTAGGAAGAGGACTTGAGGAACTGCTATGTATTTATTTAATAATGGCACTTGCAGTTATTTTTGTGCTCTCACAGATGATGGAACAGATAACTACATAAAAGTATTATTTTATTAATGTTTCATAACAGCCCTATGTGATAGATACTCTGCACTTGTTATTTTATAGATGAGGAAATGGAAGCTTGGCATTGCTAAATATCTTTCTCAGTGTTCATCTCAACATATGTAGGCCACAAGGGATGAAGCCAGCATATAAACCCAGATGGTGTAACTAGACAAAAGACAAAAATAAGGTAAAATGAAACTAAAAATCAAATGTACCAACTTCTCGATTTTGTTTGAAACTGAGCCTTTTAAGATTTATTAAATTAAATTTTTAAATTCATTTACTATTTTGACATAGCTAATATTTCAAGTTAATATTAGCACACAGTTAAACTGTGCTAAGATATGTAAGTAGTTGAAAAGATGAATTATACATAGGTGTCCTTAAGAAACTTCTTATTTGATACAGGAGAAGAATAAATTAAATGTGATGTTAAAATATTTAAAACACAGTAAATTAAATAAAATATACTAGTGAGTTACAAAGAGTAAATAAGAGGTATGGAAACAGAGCACTGGACAAAAGCTACTTTTCTAAGAATCTTTGAGAAGAAGAGAACAGCCTTGGGGTAGCATGGGGTCAAAAAAATTGTGATTACATTTTTTATTTTAGGATTTAAGAAAGTTGAATAAATATAGTTTCAGGTAAAAGAGCAGACAAAGGGAGAGCCTGAGGATTAAACAGAAAAGGGAGGGAAAAATTCAGTCACTTTTCATTCCATGAATTTATATAGAATGTTAACTATCTATAGTCATTGTTTCCTTCATGTGTTTTTCTTTGGCTGTTGATTTCAATCTCCTTTGGATCTCAGGCTCTGAAAGTTGGGTGAATTAATCTCCTCAATTCATGCTACAGCAGCATCACCCCTGGGTCTACACAATCTCCTGCTCTTCCTTCAGGTACATTTTTAATCCCTCTTATGTCCCCCCAAGTCCCTCCTCTCCAGTGCTGCAAAGCCAACCATTTAAATCAATTTAACATACTGCATCGTGTTGAGGCAAAATTTATCTATATGTTGAAATTATGAAAATGATGTTATTTTACATATTTCACTTTTTCTTTTGTTGTCTTTATCATTTGTTTTCCCCTTAGCACTACAGCTGGAAAGTCAGTCTTGCATGTTGCTATGTGTTCTCCTTTGCTTATATCTCCTGCGTGAGACCCCACGGTTTGTGTATTTCTCCCATTTTACCTTCAACTTTCCTAGTGATGGGACCAGAGTGACTCCAGGCCTTCAGCTCCACAAATATTACCGCAAAGAACATCCTCTAATGTATCATCTATAACTCAAGGTGAGAATTTACTTGGGAAAATAAATATAGAGAAAAGCTATTGAATTCCTCAAAAAAAAAAAAAAAATACTAGGATTTAGACTTAGAAAACTTTGACTATATAAATTAATTTATGGATAATTGATATTTTTATAATATTAACTCATCTCATCCAAGAGCATAAATTCTACAAGTTAATTTTTTTCTATAAATGTTTACATATGTTTGATTCAGATCATGTTTAAGATGCTTCTTACTTTTTCTATTCTTCCTTAGTTTTGCATATAGTACCTTAGTTTTTATTATTTTTTAGTGGTTATTCTGTTGTCAAAAAGTTCAATGTAACTGATTTATACACAGAAAATTTATTGAGCTCTCACTTCTTCAAATTAACTATTCTATTGATTTTTTTTTCCTGGTAGATAATCATATAATCTATAAATAAAAAATTTTCTCTTCCTTTTTAATACTTAAATGTCTTTTTTCTTTCATTATAGCTTGGGCCTGGAACTCCAGTATTATAGTAAATCAGTGATAATGAACATTTTCTCTAGCCCTTGATTTTAAAAAGTGAGTACATTATTATTTCCTTCATTATATTCAATATTTGTCATAGATTTTTTTTAATATAAAAAATTTACCAAGTTAAAAAAGTCTCCTTTTCTTCCTGGATTGCCAAGAATTTACATCTTAAATAGCAAATGTTTTTTTATATGTTGATTGAGATATTCATTAATTTTATTATTTAGACCAAGGTTTGACAAACATTTTCAGCAAAGGACTGGACAGTAAATATTTTAGGCTGCAGACTACATAAAGTTTCTGTCATATAATAATTGTCTTTTTCTTGTTTCATTATTTAGAACCCTTTAAAAATGTTAAAGGACCATATGAAAAGCTACAGGCTGGGTTTAACCTATGGACTGTAGTTTATCAACTCCTACTTTAGATTTTTAATGTGATAAATTATAAGGACAAACTGACACCAAAAATCCTGAAATTAACAGTACTTGATTATGTTATACTATTTTTAAATGACATTTTAAATTTCATAAAATATTACTATATTTTGTTTCTAGGTTCATAAGTGTAATAGACTTAAAATTATATTTTCTCATATTATATTTATGACTTTGAATCAGTATTCACAAGTCTAATATTAGATTGGACCATATGAAATCTCTACAAATAAAATGAATTATATAGCTTTCATACTTTTTAATAAAACAATATTAATTAGTAATTTATAACTTGACTATATTAAACTATAAACCAAATGGGTCTAAAATTTAGTAACAGGGGAATATTTTCATTAGCACTGCAATCATTTAATACTTTTTGGTCTATTTGAGTTCCATATTTTTCTTAATCCAATGTTTGGTATTTTTAATTTTTCTAAAAATTTATTCATGTGATCCAGTTTTCAGATTTGTTGGTGAATTTGAATCTTTTAATCTTTATGTTTTAATCTTTTAAAATTGCTTTCCTTTTAATCTTTATGTTTCAGTGGTGATTTTCTATTTCCATCCTGTAGTTTGTTTATTTGCATCTTTTCCCTTTTTACCCCCACCCTTTCTTTCTCTTATCAGATTTACCAGTCACCTTATTAATTTTTTTTATGAATATGATTTTGAGTTTGTTAATATTCTCTATTCATTCTTATTTGCTCCTGCTCTTGCCTTTATTTCCTACCTTCTTCTTTGAGTTCAGTTTCTTGTTCTATTTCTAGTTTCTTGATTTGACTATTTAGCTTACTAATCATACTTGACACCTAGTAAAAATATTTGAAACTATCAATATTCCTCCAAGTATAGCTTTAGCAGTTTTCTGATGTATATGTATATATGTATATACATATATCTATATACATATATATAGTGTAGAAACTATATAATGCATAATATGAATATATATAAAAATTATATATCTATATCAATATGCAATTACCTATTACTTTTCATCACTAAATTGTAACTATCTTTATATTTCTTTTACATTTTTCTAGCTTCGCCAAAGATTATTTAGGAATATGTTATTTAGTTTAAAAACATATGAGTTTTTCTTAGCTGCTTTTTTATTTATCTCTAATTTCACTTCATTTTGGCAGAAGATAAAAGGACTGATCCTTTGGAATTTATTCTCTTGTGTTAGATGTGTTATGGAAAAGAGTATGTATTTAATGTCCATTGAGTAAAGCAGGATAGATAAAGAGAGAGATAGACATACATACTAGCTTAAGGTTTTTCACTGTATTCTTAAGTCTTCAATATTCACGTTTATTTTTGGTCTACTTGTGCTATCAGTTTCTAAAAAAGCAAAATGGCTGTCTGAGGAGGCCTTACAAATAGCTGTGAAAGGAAGAGAAGTGAAACGCAAAGGAGAAAAGGAAAGATATACTCATTTGAATGCAGAGTTCCAAAGAATAGCAAGGAGAGATAAGAAAGACTTCCTCTGTATAATGGGCTCCAGTTTCATCCATCTGATTAGAACTGATTCAATATTGTAAAGTAATTAGCCTCCAACTAATAAAAATAAATAAAAAAGAAAGAAAGAAAGACTTCCTCAGCAATCAATGCAAAGAAATAGAAGAAAACAATAGAATGGGAAAGACTAGAGATCTCTTTAAGATCATTAAAGCTATCAAGGGAACATTTCATGCAAAGATGGGCTCAACAAAGGAAAGAAATGGTATGGACCTAACAGAAGCAGAAGATATTAAGAATAGGTGGCAAGAATACACAGATGAACTGTACAAAAAAGATCTTCATGACTCAGATAATCACGGTGTGATCACTTGCCTAGAGCCAGACATCCTGGAATATGAAGTCAAGTGGGCCTTTGGAAGCATCACTATGAACAAAGCTAGTGGGGGTGATAGAATTCCAGTTGAGCTATTTCAAATCCTAAAAGATGATGCTATGAAAGTGCTGCACTCAATATGCCAGGAAATTTGGAAAACTCAGCAATGGCCACAGGACTGGAAAGGGTCAGTTTTCATTCCAATCCCAAAGAAAGGCAATGCCAAAGAATGCTGAAACTACCAGACAGTTGCACTCATCTCACACACTAGTAAAGTAATGCTCAAAATTCTCCAAGCCAGGCTTCAGCAATATGTGAACTGTGAACTTTCAGATGTTCAAGCTGGTTTTTGAAAAGGCAGAGGAACCAGAGATCAAATTGCCAACATCCNCCAGTCCATCCTAAAGGAGATCAGTCCTGGGTGTTCATTGGAAGGACTGATGCTGAAGCTGAAACTCCAATACTTTGGCCACCTGATGTGAAGAGCTGACTCATTTGAAAAGACCCTGATGTTGGGAAAGGTTGAGGGCAGGAGGAGAAGGGGATGACAGAGGATGAGATGGTTGGATGGCATCACCGACTCAATGGACATGAGTTTGAGTAAACTCCGGGAGTTGGTGATGGACAGGGAGACCTGGTGTGCTGCAGTTCGTGGGGTTGCCAGGAGTTGGACATGACTGAGTGACTGAACTGAACTGAAGAAAAGTATTCTAGAAACCAGAAACTAAAATTGCTCATTTATATTTGTCTTTCTGTGGTTTAGCTGTAGCTTTTATATATTTAGAGTCAATAAGATTAGATAGATATATGTTTATGATAGTTATATCATCTTGCCCTATTGTATTTTTATAGAAATAATCCCCTTATCATCTTTTTGCATTAAAATCTATTTGATCAGTTTTCCCCAGTTTTCTTTGTTTTATTTACTAAGTATTGATCTCTGTATCCTTTTAATGTCATCCTGTTTGATGTTTTTAAGCAGATCTCCTATAAATAATACATTAGATGCTGGGAGCCAACACATGAGACCCTACCCCTAAAAAGGCCATAGGGGAGAAAACCTGATGGGCAAGGCGAATCAGGTTTTCAGGGGTTTCGAAAAAGTCAGCTCATGAGACCCTACCCCTAACAAGGCCGTAAGGGAGAAAACCTGACCGGCAAGGCGGATCAGGTTTTCAGGGATTTCGAAAAGCTGCCCCCGGCTCTCACCTTAAAGATCATATCTGTCTTTCTGATGCCTGCCTCAATGGACTCTGACACAGGCAGGAAGGCCTTCCCCGATCTCTTCCCAAATAAGAATCAATTTAGAACTTTAATCAATAAGTTTCCCAGGTGGTGGTATTTTATGAGATTATTCAGGGTGAAAGGAGTGTTTTAATTTAAACTCCTTTGCTGGTAGTTTGTTAGCCAAATGCATTTATGCACTTGGTACGAATATGCATGATTGCTTATAATATCCTAATCATAAAATAGCATAAAGAACCTGATTATGTAAAAGCCCTAATAGATATAGAGCCCTTTTAAGGGGTAAAGGAGTCCTATTAGAAAACATAAGAAAAATTATTCTATAGGTGGTTATTGGGTTGTGATTTGCTTGCTGTGTTTTGCTTGCTGTGTTTTGCTTTTAATGTGTTAAGGCAGTGTTATAGAAACCATTGTTAATATAGTTGAAGATCTAGAGAAATAAAGACTTAGCCCTAGTGTGGTAACAATGAGATGGTTGTTAATTGTCAGCCAGGAGTGCTAGGCAGAGGCTGCCTCACTGAAGCCGCAGAGTCTGTATGGGGTAAACTTCTTAGATAAACGCAACTGACAACTTTTGCAGAAAGATTAATTTTTGTATTAACAAGAATATAATTCTACTCTGTGCTATTTCCCTATGACCCTGTTACCTTTCAGTTAAGGTCACCATAGAAACAGAAAATAGGTTTACATTCACCTGACCTGCAAAAATGTTAATAGGCCCCAAGGCCAGAAGATAATGTACAAGACCCTCATAAACAAAGAAGTATGCAGAAAACACGCTGGTTTCATGAAGGACAAGCTGATGTAATGTTAAACTATCTTCCCCTTAGAAATGTACTAACTTAGGGTATAAAAGCTATGGTAAAAAATAAAGCATTGCCAGACTCTACCAGATTCTCTGCACCCCAATCTGGTCATTCTCTCTCTCTCTCTCTCCCTCGCAGATTTGGCCCTATCAAGGCTGGTCTCACATGTCTTCTCTCTCTCTCGCTGACGCTGTTCATCCTGAGGGTACCCCCTGGATCCTGCTGAGGCTGGACCCTGGCAATTAGTGAATTCTGCTTCTGAATGTCACAATTGCTATATATTATTTTTCATAGTATCAGGCAAATTTTCTGACCAGTTTAATCTGTAAATCCTTAGGGACAAGTGAATTCCAGCTCTTGGCGTAGAAAGGGAAGTAGTAACGGAACAAAAACCTAGACAATCCGTATCTTTCCATCACCTCAGCAGGGGTTTTGTCCTCTCTAGCTATTAACTCATCAGAAACAACGTCAGCAATCAGGGATGTTGCTGCCAATTTCTAGTAATAAAGAGCAAGCAACAATTATCCAAAGGCAATGGAGGTGGGGTGGGGAGGAAATCAAAAGCAAAATTTTATAAATATTTTCCTTAACCACCACAGTGACCTCCTGTGCCAATTTCCAGCCATTCACCATCCAAATACATACCAATTTAAGAATTATCCTTTTTCTGTTGTACCGAAAAAGAAATTGCCTAGCCCCTAGTCACAAATGGGCTTCCCG